AGCAAAACACCCACGAAACAAAGAAAGGTCTGTCACAGCCAAAAAATACACTCCAGACACGCCGCTGGCACTAGAGGCACAGCATGGCCGCGTAGTGACGGCCCCGACGACTGCCGCTCGACCTGACCGGAGAACGTGTGGCACCCGTGAACGTGTGAGAGAGTGACATGCTCACGCACTCCAATCTACCATCTTCGCCCGGATAGAAGTACAGTTGCAACGACTTGCTGTTTCTGCCGTCGGTGACCCGTCGACTCGACGCTGTACCATAGGTAGGGACAGATTCGTAATTTTGTTTGGCTGAGGGCTAACCGAGAGACCTATCTGTAGGGAAAATTCATGAGGGACATATCTGTAAATTTGGGAAAATACAGGCCCGTACTAACTGAAGCTTCCTACAGCAACCCCAACTGCGAATAGCAGGCCCGGGCTACCCCAAGGACAGACAAGCCCTAAAGGCCTATGCGGAGAGACGATCCTATAGCCTATAGCCGGGTAGGTAGAGGCCGAGAGTCGAAACTGAAACGGTACCGGTCAGTCCGGTCAGTCCGTTCTAGGTCGTGTCTAGGCTAGTGTAGTCAATAGATAGATGGTAGACTTCGGTTCAGGGCTTTTGGCAGTTGGTACCGAGTACATCGCTGCTGTGCAACGCAGGAACTGGAGTGGTGACAGCTTCACGCATCAGGGAAGACAGACATAGCCGGACCTGTGAAGTGTCGGCCATAGCTGGGACTGGCGCTGTTCTCTGACAGCACGCGGGGCTGTTCAGAGGTCCGGGCTTTCAGAAGTCTGCTGGAGGCGAGAGAAGTTGGTGCCCTGCTGAACCCTCCTCAGGAGTAGCGTTCAGGGTGTGTGGCGCTGCAGCCATAGTTGCAGCTATTTTCCTCAGAGCTCATCTGTGTCAGCAGAGGAGGCGCTGCTACAGACTTCCACCCGGGAAGTCCTCTGGCAGTTCATCATCACTCTATACTGTGGCGCTGGTCTTCTTCTTCATCCTCTGAGAGGTGCCTGGCCTCAGAGGCCTGTTTCAGGGTGGCGCTTCCCTCTGGAGGCAGTGTATGGGTGGCGCTTGATGTTTCGGGGACTCAGGGGTAGCAATAGCGGTTACTCAGAGTTGGAGAGTGAAGCACTGCTCAATTTTGAGCAGCGCACCATGGTTCTGTGGTATTACTGGCAATTCGAGACTCTGAGGAGTTTAATAAACTCAGAGGTTAATAAACAGTGTGTGTCTACTGTGTGCAGACTGTCTTTGCTTCACTGTTTCCTAGATGTGATCTACTCGGCTTTCCTTTGTGACTGGTTGTGAGGACTCTGTGGAGTGAATTGCACTTTCAGTGTTTTCTGTCATATCGCATGGTCAAGTCTTCCGCTGTGTTTATCTCTCCCTGTGCGGTGTGATACTCCCATTCTCTCCCCTTCCTTCTGTGAATGTATGGGCATACCTGGAAGTCTATGTGAGCGAGTGTTGGTCTTTTGACAACAAACAACCAGGATCATAACACAGTCATTATGGGTGTATCTAGAGTGGAAATTACAGCAAATTGATTGAGGTACAATGACCATTCATTCTCTCTCTCTCTCTCTCTCTCTCTCTCTCTCTCTCTCTC